ACACCACGGCGCACGTGCTCTTTTACCCGCAAAAACCGCTTGTGCGAACAAAGGCGATGTCGTACATGCGAAGCAACGACCTCCCTGCTGGGCACAATGCGGTGGTGGCCATCGCCTGTTACTCGGGGTACAACCAGGAGGACTCCATCATCATGAGCCGCTCTGCGGTGGAGCGGGGCTTCTTCCGCAGCGCGTTCTGGCGCTCCTACAAGGCGTCCGAGGAGCGCAAAAAGGACGGTCGCGAGATGTTTGAAAACCCAGACCGTAACATTTGTCGCGTCAAGCGCGCGGACTACACGAAGCTGGACGCGGACGGTCTCATAAAGCCTGGCATGCCCGTACTGGGCGGCGACATTCTTGTCGGTAAAACCATTCCCATCCCCGAGGCGGCTCTGGAGACCGCCGCCGTGGGCAACACACGACTGCTCAAGCGCGACTGCAGCATCGCGTCGCGGACGACAGAGAAGGGGGTGGTGGACAAGGTGATGCTCACGGAGAACAGCGGGAATCGGTTCACCAAGGTGAAGATTCGCAGCATTAAGATACCAAACATTGGGGATAAGTTCTGTAGTCGTCACGGACAAAAGGGCACAAACGGGATTCAGTTCCGCCAGGAGGACATGCCCTTTAACCGTGATGGAATTGTTCCAGATTTGATTATTAACCCGCACGCCATTCCTTCACGCATGACGGTGGCCCACCTCATCGAGACGCTGGCGGGCAAGGTGGCGTGCTATAAGGGGAGTGAGGTGTACGCCACACCCTTCTGCTCTGTTGTTGTGGAGGACTTTGGAAAGGCCCTGCACCAGCTGCGGTTTCAGCGCTATGGCAACGAGTGTCTGTACAATGGCCACACAGGCTCGCCGCTTGACCACCTCATCTTTTTTGGCCCCACCTACTATCAGCGTCTGAAGCACTTGTCTGGCGACAAGATTCACGCTCGGCCTCGTGGGCCGCTGCAACCACTGGTACGCCAGCCCACAGAAGGACGGGCACATGAGGGTGGTCTGCGCTTCGGTGAGATGGAGCGGGACTGTATGTTGTCCTACGGGGCCTCCCAGTGGCTTCGCGAGCGTCTCTTCCGTGTGAGTGACTACTACGCGGTCCATGTGTGCAACATCTGCGGGACCATCTGCGCCGCCGACACGGAACAAAATGTGTACAAATGCCAAGGTTGCGACAACGACACACGTATTTCCCAGGTTCTCATGCCCTACGCATGCAAGCTGCTGTTTCAAGAGCTCATGTCGATGGCTATTCTCCCACGCCTCGGCACCGGACCCATTTAACCTTGAACCCCACTTCAATTATATGTAGGTGCGGCACACCCGGTTTGATTAACCGCTAAGGATGGACATAATCAGCTGCGCATACATGAGCCGTTTTTTAAAGTTACTGTCTCCCCTTGTGTGGGTGTGTAGGTGTCTGTGCACGTACGTTGTTGTTGTTGTTTTTTTGTGCGGTGTCACAGCCTTGCCAATGCTCATCGTGGTCTTTGCTTTGCTGACTTCCTTTTTTCTTCAAAAAAAAAACATTATTGCTTCTGTCAAGAGGCTGGCGGTGGGCGACGGGATTTTTTCCCGTTCGCGTCGTTTGCGAAGCCATTTCCGCTGCGGCGTGCCATGTCCTCCTCTAGGGTGGCCCTCTCCATGTACCGGCGGGTGCTGAAGATTCTGGCGTCCATTCGCTCTGTGGGGGCCGAGCAGCTGGCGCTGGAGCGCTACGCCGAGTTTCTTCCCCCAACCATGCAGGTGGCGAAGGGGGAGTCGCCTCTTGTGCTCGCCCGTAGGGCCTTCCTTAGCGCCACTGTGGGTGCGGAAAGTTTGACTCGCGGCTTCGCCTTCATCAAGGACGCCACGGCGTCTGTGCACGACTTGGAGCTGCTCGCGCTTTGGGAGGCCTACAGCCGCGACGGCGAGTACGAGATGCTGCACGGGGTCGCGCTTGTGAGCGCTGCGCTGCGGCACGCCGAGAAGGCAGAGGCAGCGCGGCTGGGGGAGTTGGCGGCCACCGTGTCGCGCATACGACGTCAGCTGCGGCAGGTGGTGGAGGAAATGAAGGAGGTGGTGGCGGTGGCGGTGGCGACTCCCTCACCGTCCTTTGCACGGCGGCAGACGTGGAACACGCGTCTAGCGTCCCTGGCAGCCGCCGTGGAGTCGTTGCGGAAACGTGGCTTTGCGGTGAGTGAGAGGGTTGCGGCGGACTTCACCGCGCTGAGCCTCCTGCGCAGGGGGCGGGCGTCGGTGCTTCTTCTCAACGTCCTCCTCACGGTGGTTCTCCGCGAGTTGGGAGTCCTGTGCACGTTGGTTGGGACGGAGTCGCATCGGCCGTGGGTACGCGTCCAGCGAGAAGGCGGCCGTCCGCACTTTCTGTCGTTTGCGCACACTGGCGTGCACTCGGCGACGGAGGTGATGCGGCTGAAGGGACATCCACCAACGTCGACGCAGTGGTGGCGCGCGGCGCGGTGGGATGGGGGCAGCCGCAAACACGTCCTCTCGAGAATGCTCGGGATGCAGCTGATGTTGCTCTCGTCCTCCGCAGAGTCTCCACTGCGCACACGGCAAGTGAAGGCGTGTCGAATCCAGATACTTTTTCTCTTGTCCTGACTTTTTCCGAGATGTGGTGAATGGGGCATACCGTTGTGCCGCGTCATCAGTACAACGTTGTCGTAGTGTTTGCTGGATTGTTTGTTTTGCTACCTTCTTTTTCTTTCCTTCTTTCCCTTCGCCTGTTATTGTTGTCGTCGTCGTCGTTTCTGGACGCGGGGCCGCTGCGAGGGATGGCGGAGGCCACTGTAGGGGGTGTTCCCCGCATGGCTCAGCCCGTTGCCCGAGTGGGAGGGGCGCCGTTGTGCTTGGCGAGTTTTGCTGGGTGCAGGGTTCAGTAGTGAGGCAGCTCGTCTGGCTGCGGGGTACAAGTGGTGCCGCCGCGCAGCTTGACGGGCGCCCGTGCCCACCGTTCGTCGCCGACATGTTGGACGATCTTATGGAGCTCAGCGTGAGCTCCGACTGCCCCAGCAACAACACGGCAGGCGACGTGCGCGGGGCCTCCGTGACGCACCGTATCTTTGACCCGCTCCGCTGGGACGGGGCCTCCGCCGCGGCTCACGTGGCTCGTGTGAACCTCCCAGACGCCTTTGCCCGCCGCCGCCAACGCGCCGTTGGTGTCGCACTCGTCTGTCCGTGTTGCAGGGCTCTCTGGCTCTCTCGCGAAGGGTGGCTGACGGCAGCGAGCGCATTGCGCCCCTATTGCTTCACGGGGCATACCTCTCCTATGAGAAAGACGTGCGGCGGTGCCAAGTGGCGATATTGTTGCTCCTGGAAGCCCCAGCGAAGGAGACGCTGCTCTCGCCGTGCATCTGCCAGTTCTTGCGGCAGGAGCTGCGGCTCATGAATCATCTACATGGTAGAAACCAGCTGCTTGACTTGCCTGCGCCGCCGCCGCCGCCGCCGGAGAGTGGCGCCATTGGGCCACTCGCAGAGGCCGTGGAGTTGGTGGAAAGCCCGATTGCACGCAGAGGTCACTCCCCACTTCGCCCACCAGAGGTGGTGTGTGGGAAATGCTACGCCGGTGCCTTGGAGGAGATGGAGAGGACATTGTGCCACTACTTCTCACTGGACGCCACGCCCTTGATGGAGGACGCCTCCGGCACATTGCCTAGTGCGTTGGAGGTGCTCCACCCCCCCTTCCCCGAGCTCTCGCAAGGCGACGAGGAGAGGAGAGATGCATCGGATTCACCGCACTTCATCAACGTCGGGGAGTTGCATGTTCTGCACCCGCTGTGCCCCGACTGCACTCTCCCTCTAAGCAGTTGCTCGCCGGCATCGACGCACTTCACGGTCCTTTACGACCCCCGCCCCAAGTTTTACAACACTCTCAGGAACTACGCTGCCCGGCATGCGATGGAGGTGGCGTACAGCGCGCTGCGATGCAAATCGATCATTGTCTGTGGATGGGATGGGGCTAGTGTTGTGGAGGCCGTGAAGGTGGCGTGTCTCTTCGTGCCAGGGCTGTTGCAGGGCCGAGAATACACCCTTCGTCTGTGCATCCTCCCGGCAAACTCCTCGCAGCTCCTCTCCGCGGAGGGCATCCTCCACCGCTTTGCCGTCGCTGGCTGTCACGTGAATGCGGCTCTGCGCCACGGTGCACCGCAGTTTGCGCAGACCTGTACGTGGCACGCTGGGCGTCAGGGGAAGGCCCGTGGATGCCGCGCAATAAATCCGTACGGGGATTAGTGTGATTTGTCTTGCACCAACGGGCCCTATCTGTCCTTATCCGCGTTGTCACCGTCGTCAGCAGCAGACGCGGCCACGAGGAGGCGGAGCGGACGCGGTTGGCGCCACTGCCCCCCATCCCTGGCGGAGCCTGAGGAAAAGTCCGGGGAACTTCTTTGGGAGCCTGGAGATGGCTTGCGCCAGAGGGCGGCGAATACGGTGCAGGAGGCCGCCTTTTCGGACTACGTGCGTTTGCGCTTGAGGCGTCTGTTATTCGATTGCTGTGCTCACGCCTCGCCGCTCCTTAGGCGTCTGCGGAGGCTCCGTCGATCCCGCCCTTGGACGACCGCTTCTGCACCGCCGCCACCGCGTTCCTCAGTGTTGCGTAGCAGCCCCACTGGAGGCGGCTGTGACGCCTCGCCGTGGGTCCGGAGCGAGGTGGACACGGAACTGACTCCGTGTACCTGCTTTGGCGTCCGTTTGCCAGCTCGTGGCGATGTTTATTATTGCCACGGAGCTCGTGAAGCGCATGGCCGTCGCTACCGCGGTCGGAAGGCACGCGGCGGGAAGGGGGAGGCAGGCGACGGAGAACAAGCGAGACGACGTGGACGCCGCAGTTGAATGCCGCGGGAGGCTGTAGCTTGACTTTATGAACGCTTGGGCGCCGTATAAATCTGATTGTTTGGTTTTTGATTACTTCATGTAGTTTTTATTTTTTATTGTTCTCCCTCTCTCCCTCTCTGTGTGTGTACCGCCTCCTGCAACGCAGTAGCCGTTTGAGGCGAAGGAGTTAGCGGCAGGACAGGCCACGCACACACACGCACAGGGCCACATCACCGCGCACAAATACAGCGGCGGTCGGGGAAGCAGCCGGGCACAAATAC